AGCAGAATATCAATTACAGTGGAGCCATCTAAGAATGTCTCCAGTTCCCAAAGACCCCCAGACCTGATGACATAACCATGTCTTGAGGGACTTCCTAAATGACAGCAGGGAAGGGGCAAGCCTAACTTCGGTGGGGAAAATGTTCCACAAGGAGGGTGCCACAGCAGAAAAGGCCCACTTCCTGGGACCCACCAAATGCAAGTCCCTGGCTGTTGGAACACATAGCATTCCCTTCCTGCCAGATCTAATGGGACGGGCTGATGTGACCAGGGAGAGAGTCCCTCAGATAACCTGACCCATGCCATGAAGGGCTTTAAAGGTCAAAACCAGCACCTTGAATTGGACCCACAAGCAAACTGTCAGTCAATGCAGCTCGTGAAGCAGAGGTGTAATATGTACTCTTCTAGGAGCACACATAACTGTCTGCGCCACCGCATTCTGCACCAGTTAAAGTTTCCACATACTCTTCAAGGGCAGCCCCATGTATAATGCATTACAGTAGTCCAATCTGAAGATGACTAGGGCATGAGTGACTATGAGCAGAGCCTCCTGATCCAGGAAGGGGCACAATTGGTACACAACACAAAGCTGTGCAAAGGCCCTCCTAGCCATGACTGCCACCTCCTGCTCTTCAAGCAGGAGTCACCTGCTTGAAGAGCAGGAGTCGTGAGTCTAGGAGAACCCCCAAATTGTGCACTGGGTCTGTCCAGGGCAGTGCCACCCCATCCAGCACCAAAGATGGCATAGTCCCAGAACTGACAGGGCCCCAAACCCAAATCCACTCAGTCTTGCCAGGGTTCAGTTAAAGCTTGTTGTTCCCCATCCAGACGCTCACAGCCTCCAGACACTGGGACAAGGCACCCACAGCATCACTTAATTCACCAGGAGCACAGATGTATAGTTGAGTATCATCAGCATACTGATGATACCTCACCCTGTGGTGATGGATGAACTCACCCAGCGCCCTCGTGTAGATATTAAATAGGAGAGGGGAGAGCACTGAACCCTGTGGCACCCCACATAATAGGGGCCAATGGCAGGACCTCACCTCCCCAAACATCTGGAATCAATGCTGGGGAAAGGAAGCAAACTAGCACAGCACTATGCCGCCCACCCCCAGTCCCCTGAGCCGATCCAGAAGGATACCATGGTCAATGGTATCGAAAGCCACCAAGAGGTCAAGGATGGATGCACAGCCTCCATCTCGCCCATGCCAGAGATCATCTAAAAGTGCATCCAATGCTGTTTCTGTCCCATACCTGGGTCTGAATCCTGATTGAAAAGAATCCAGACAATCCAATTCATCCAAGGTCCTCTGAAGCTGTTGTGCAATCACCTTCTCGATCACCTTACCCAAAAACAGGAGGTTAGATACTAGACGAAAGTTGTCCATTATGGTGGGATCTAGTGATGGCTTATTGTTGGGGAATGTATTTTATGTATGATGTACACCCATCTTGATCTGTCACTATTTGCAGGCTAAGCTAGCATTTCCCATTTCACTTTAACATTATGGGGTGCTGTATTTTAACTTGCATTTTATCTTCTTTTTATTGTGATTATTAACGGATTTTTATTATGTTTGTTTTGCTGTGAACTGCCTAGAACTTCTAGAATTTTGCAGTATACAAATACTGGAAATAATAATAATATATAACATGTTTTGAATGAAGATTGTAGTGTTCTTCCTGTTGGTTCTTCCTGTTATAAGCAATCCTGTGATCATATATTATTCCTCAATTACTTTGGGCTGCCTGTTGTAATTTGTTTGATCAGTCAAAGAGACCCAACATAGAGGTACTTTCACAATCTGCAATATATCAGGTTGTATTCATCATGTTCAACCAGATGAAGACCACACAAAATAACATCTAAGGACACTAGGAGAAAAACAAAATTGCCAACTCTTCATCTCTGAAAAACAACAAAGAAATTCTCCTTAATAAATTATAATAAAATTGAGGTTACCGTCTGAAAATTTTCTATGATCGTGTTTGCATAACATTAAATTAATCATGTTTTTCTCAATTACCCCAATGGTTTCAGTTCATACAATATATTCAGTCATAACTAAACACAATTCTATAATGCCTGGGTTTACACAACATTCTAGGCTAAAATGGAACTGGTTATTTATGGTTCAGCATGTTGTGCCAATACAGCAACTACTGTGGGACTGTAGCCAACCAACCTATTGTATTCTCCCATGTAAGCAATTCCGCCTTGAGCTTTCTAGAGGAGGATAGAACCACAGGTAAATGTCATAAATCCATGTCACTATGGGCAAAGATAGATTATACAGGTAGTCCCCAATTTAAGAACAAGTTCTGTTCCCAAGTTCTGTCCTTAAGTCGAATTTGAATGTAAGCCGGAACAGTATTATTCTATAATACTTTATAAGTAGTATTGTGTAATTAACTCGTACCATTGTATATTTAACACGAATCTTTGTGTATTTAACTTGAATGTTGCTACAATAGGCTCTGTTCTTAACTATGGCTTGTACTTAAACCGTGTGTTTATAACCCGAGGACTACCTGTATCTCTTTCCAGGACTTGAACTTCAGCATCTCACAAAATGAATCCTTTAAAATCTAGCCCATGTTTATTCAGAAGACCCATTACAGAATATTCAATATGGCTTATTGCTCAGAGGATGTGCTTAGGATAGGGGTTGGTAAAAGTCTCAAGGCCTTTTCCCCCCCCTAAACCTCTGGAACTCCTCTGGCCACACCACTCAATGTCTGTGGTGTAATTGCTAAAAACTTCCCACCATGAAAACTGCAATATAAATCTCACAGATTAAAAACAAAAATTCTACCCTCAAAAATCAAAATACATCATCCTAATTGGCCCACTCATTTATCATCAGTGCCCTGCCCACTGTGATCATTACTCACTTCCCCAAATATTAAGGGTAAAGCCTGGCCATCAAAATTGCTCACCCCTACTTTACAGTGTAACCCATTGAGTTACCACAGTGTGCATTATAGGAGAGCCATGTTAGTTTGTGGTAGCCAAAAATCAGAAGAAGTCTGGTGGCTCCTTTTCTGACCAATGAATGTTATTAGAAGGCCTGCAACTCACAAAAGCTTATGCCTTTGAATACAATTTCTTAGTTAGGAAACAATCCTAACTATTGGTTCTAATCCAGAGGCTATTTCATTCCACTGACAAGCTTGGAAATACTATGCTTGCTTCAGCAGCAAATATCCTAAAATTAGATAAGCCCAGAAATACTGCAGTTGGTAAAATAAACAGAGTGCAAATGCATTAGGGGAAAGAGGCAGGACTTACTGATTTCATTGTATGTCTTCAGCTGCATTTATTGGACAAACTGATAGCCCACCCTTCCCTGTGCATCTATGCGTGGTTACCTGCAATTAGATCACCCTGTCAAACTTTCATCCTGGTGAGCCAACTGCAGGTTGCCATAACAGAGTCTCTCTTAACAATAATAAAGGAGGCAAATCCAAACACAACACAGCAGTAGTTTTACTGCAGAATTTGTTAACACTCAGCGAGCAAATCATTTCACACCCTGAGTAAGAAGTGCCTACATACTTCTACTAAGCAATACTTCAAAGTCAAAGTAATCACTATACATATCTCTTTAACAACAAGAAACAGAAGAAACAACTCCTCCTACAGGAAGTTGTCTTAGAAAGGAAGAAGGAGGCTTGGGACTCATAAAACCTGACTTCTGAAGAGCAACTGAAGTTTTTGCCTTCTTCTGTTTTTACTCCCGTCAGTCTTAGAATTGGGTGCTTGTGGCTGGGAGCTACTAAGTTTTTTAAGATGGCTCAGCAATTTGTAGTTAGTCATATTGCATCTAATAAAGTGGTTGTGTTTGGAAAGAACAACTGCCCTTTCTGTCACCATGCTCTAGATCTTCTGGAAAATTTTAATTTCAAGCCTGGGCATTTGGAATATATTGATCTCACGAGCCAAAGGGATATGGATGCCATTCAAGACTATCTTATGCAGTTAACAGGCACTCGAACGGTGAGTTTCCTTTAAAAACAGAACGAAAGAGAAAATGTTATGTCTAAGAATGAGATCATGCGTTACCCTTCTGAGTGTATAAGGAACAGATCTGTGTTTTCATGTGGCTGTTTTCCAATAATGTAACTAATGTAATATGCTCTTTTAACAGTTGAACAAAGTTGCTGGTATTGCTTTTCCAGAAAATTGATATGTGGGTGAGGAAATAGATGAGTAATTATCTGTAACAAAGTCACCAGCTGTACGACTTGCGTCTGGGTCACATTACATTGGTGGATATGATGACCTTTGGGCTCCACTCCCACATATAAATGGGGTTTGTTTGGGGCTAGTTCAGTGTTATGAGTCAACCCAGCTTTTGTGGTTTGTAAACCATGGCTTGGGTTTAGTGAGGTGTGAACCAAGTCCTGAAATAGAATTTGGGATGGCAGAGGGAAGTGATAATAAGCTCCAATTCTTAGTTATAAAACAGTAACTTGGGTCCATCATCTTTTAGCCTAACCTGTGCTATGAAGCTCAGAAAAAATGAGTGAGATGAGTTATATGCTCTCTGTCCCTCAATATAGCTTGTTTTCCACATTTGGCTCCTGCTCAGAATGTAGATTGCTCAGGGCAGTGCTCCCTTCTGCCCTTGTAACATCCTTACCTGGTATCTTAGGCTGGGAGGGGTAGGCTTTGAATTCCTGGGTCTGCCATTGGAAACTGCATTCTAGCCCCTAAATGGTGCTATATCCTTTTGAAGTTATGGGGATATGAAATGTTCATATTTTGCTTTTGAACTCTTGCAAGACATACTCCAACTTTCTCAGTGTCATTCTGGGAGTTGTCTGGTGGATGCTACACTGATGAAGATTGAGGTACACCCACAAATCATTGAATGAGTGCAGGTATCACTTGGGGAGGGATAAATTGTATTGCTTTTTCCTACTCATGGTGCACAACTTCTAGAACAGTTTTGAGAAGTCTTCTATAAAAGAGGGGTTTGTTTCTTTGTGGAAAATATAGTGTGTTCATTCTGCATCTTGGAAGTTCTACAATCTGGATCATGACCAGTATGCAGCAAAATAGAGAATTTGAAATACTCCCACACAATAAACATACTTTAAAGGAAAGTACTGCATAGGTGTTCTGGACTAGCTGCATTACAGATAAGTTCTGTATTATTTCTATCAGGATGATGTTTCATATAAATTCATATTGCAGTGGAGAAAACAGAAAACCAAGCTTCTGTTTTTAACTGTGTAACTAAAATGCTTCTTTATTGTACAAAGAAAGCAAGGAACCAAACAAATTTCACAGCCTTCTGAACACAATACATGAGAAATAGACCTGGGGCATTTGGGGCCCTCCTGAGAATGGTCCCAAGCAATGAATGTGATGCCAACTTGATACCACTTTTTGCTCTGTCTCTTAATGGTTGTAGTATCTCTTCCTTTTGCTGGTTCTAAGAAGGAAGTAGAGTGAAAGAGGCTAGTTTTACCTAATAAATGCATGTAAAAGGCATAGAAGCAGAGTGAATGAGCTTCTATGTAGAAATGGAAGTATCTTTGCCAAACTATGGTAGCTCTGAACTTTATATTGGTCTGTGTTTATTGTGGGGGACCCATATATTTCTAAGAACACAAGTTTGTTTAACATCAACAATTTGTATTACAAAATAGAATGTCATGAATCTCCAGCTAAGCTGGAGAGCAGTAAAGAATGGATGCTGGTTAAATGTCCTGGAGCACTTGCTGAGCCCCAAAATCAATACCTTCCACAAGCATGTATCATTTCCTTCCCACTCTAGTCCTTGCTTTTTGCTTGAATAGCTTTCCCTAGTAAACTGATTTCACAATGTCTTGATATCTTGGGTAGTTATTCTAGTAGGGCAACACAAATGTTTCACAGTGGGTGGGAATTTTTTCTTTGGCACAAATTTTGAATTTTGAATCTTGAGACTTATGCTACAAGAACTGTAGTGGTAGTGGCTGAACTTGTGCCTGCCTTTTACCTCCATTGTAAAACTAAAGTTTATTTTAGAGTTTTTCAACCCAACTTAAAACATACTACTGAAACAAAATATATAGACCTCTCTTTAACGGAAGCCCTTCTAAATATGTTGTTCTACAGTCCCTATAATCCCAACAATGTAATGTTGCCTGGGGATTACAGGAATTGTCTGACATTTCTAGAGAATTACTAGATTGAAAAACATGAAGTTGATACAGGCATATCTAAACATAATTCTAAGAGTTCTTGGCAAACAGAATTACGTTGCCTTGGGTTCTCCATATCCTCTTCCCATTCCATCATTACATTGAACGTTTTCTGGCATATATTAGAGATGGGAAACCAGCAGACCTAATCTATTCAGTCCATCTGGCGCTCAGAGCCTTGTAAAACTTTTGTCACCTCCAGCCAGAGCTATGCTAGCAGATCTTCCAGCTTGAGTGCTTGAAGTGCAACTCTGTCTAAAGGAACACAAGAAAGAAAGAATGGCCTGAATGTTCTTCACAACTATAGGAAGAGTGAAAATAATTGGCCAGGGAATGGATTGGAGACTGGGACATTCACACTCCAAGTGATGAGCAATTTACTTATTATTATGGCTGTTTTAGCCTGGGCTGTTTGTTGTTTTATGTTCTTAATGTTTTTACTGTTGTTTTTTTTTAGATTTTGTAAGCTGCCCAGAATCTACTGGAGTGGGTGGCCATAACACATTTAAATAAATAATAAAGTCTTCAGGCTTTATCTTACTGATATGACTTCTACTCATAGCTAATGTCGTAGCTATAGCCTGTTCCTTTTCCTTACCTTATTTGTTGCTCTAGCAGCAATACTTAAAGTTCTTGTTTCATGAGGAAACAGCAGGTCTAAAGAGATTTTCTCTGCTGAGTAATAAGTTATGTTTGATTTCTAGGTTCCTCGAATTTTTATTGGAGAAACGTGTATTGGTGGTTTTACAGATCTAGATGCTCTAAACAGAAGTGGAGAACTTTTCTTCATGTTCAAGACAATTGGGGCACTTTGAAGGTAAGCATCTAGGTGTGCTTCCAATTAGTATAGTGGGATAGGGGAAATCAAGATTCCCTTCAAGAAAATTAATGTCTAAGAGAGGTTTTTTACATATAAGAACTTGGAAAGTCCCCATATACAAATAAGCACCGTGTTAGTTGCTGTCTTGCAGATAGCTTAGTGGACAGAACTCCACCCAAGCAATTGCATGTAGTCTGAATTGCCTTTATTAGCACATACCTCGCTATAAAAACATGACTAGTCCCTGACTAGCATAGATACTTTTTTAATACTATCTATAGTGGGCTGCTTATCTACTTTTGCCCTTTCTTGGTTCCTTCTTCAATTGGTTTCAGTGCAATACCCTCCAGATATGTTAGCCTATTACTCCCATTACCCCAGCTGATAGGACTTATGGAGAACATTAAGATGGCAGTTGGCTAACAATACTAACTTTGAGTACTCCCCAGAAGTATGTAGTTCCTTGGCTTTCTGTAGAGCAGGGCTGTGCAACCTTTTTCAGCCAAGAGGCCACTGTTCCTCCTTACATCCTGTAGAAGCCATGGTCAGTAATGCCATAACATCACTGAACTGGGCAAGGTTGACATTTTCAGCTCTCTCTCCCCCCCCCCCCCCCCCCCC